TGGGCGACACAACAGCAGGTAGACAGCCTCCTGCGCAGGGACTGAGAACTTCATAACTCCGGGGACAAGTTAGTTCTCTTGAATACGCATCTGAGCATCACCGGAGTTTCTCTCTGCAGACTTGGTAGATACTTGGAGCATTTAGGGGGCCGTGTATCTTAGTTCATAGCTGCCATTTATTGGGTGCTGATGCTGTTTCAGGTTCTGTTTCATGTTTTCTAATCTTGAAGGTGTTTGGAGAAATTATTATTATTATGCCCACACTGGAATAGGGACCCTGAGACACAGAGGCCCCCCTATGCCCTGTACCAGGTCACACTGGCAAGTTGCAGAGCCCAGGGTTGGAAGTGGGTCCGTGGTGCTCACAGCTGCCCTGCTGAGCCACTCCTGGATATACCCACATGCCCAGTCTCACCAGAGCATCCAGGGCTGTCTCTCGGTCTCCAAAGGAGAATCAGGGAGCTGGGACATTCAGAGGAGGAGAAAGGGGGAGCAGGATGAGGCTCCTGCCACTAGACACCAGGCAGCGGTTAGACCTTGAATGTGCAAGCAGGTGATGTTGGCCATCTGCTCAGAGGCTGGCCCTGACCCCTGCTGGGGTGAAGCATCTCCCATGGGTCTGGGGTCCAGGCCTTACACAGGAATCTGTCTGTTTGCCCTGTAGTTTGGATAAGCTCTTTTCCAGGAACTGTCCAAAGCCTCTGCAGGTCACTTGTTTGCCCTTTGCTGATCTGCCTCCCAATGGGACAGAGTGTGTGCTTCCAGGATATCATCAGCCAGGGCAGTGGCCTTTGATCTCCTGGCAGCGTGGCCTCAGGTCAGGTGGTGGAAGTCAGCAGGGGCAGGAGACACAGACTGAGAGAGTTTACTGTCAGCAAGTCTAGAGCTGCTCCGTGGCCCATGGCTGGCCTCCTAGTATCGACGGCAGGACCTCAGGGGTCCACGTAACAAAGTCTTGCCACATTTAGGCATGGACCCTAAACCCACCATGGCCCCGCAGAGCAGCTGGGTTCATCCTAGTTTTGCAGAGGTGGAAACCGAGGAAACAACAGCCCTTGGCTGAGGTCTCCAAGATGGAGCAAGAACTGGACTCTCAGAGACCAAACCCATCTACCCTCCACAGCAACCCCAGGTAACCCCATGGGTTGGCAATGGGGTCTCTCCTGGCCTGATACCCCGGCAGTCTCTGGGAGACCCAGAAGCACACCGTTAAGGATCAGTCTTGGCCCCGGCACCCCAGGGGGGCGGCAGCAGCATGCACAGAAGCCTGTGGCAGGAGAAGGAGGCCACATTCAAGGCGAGAGTGCAAATGGCACAAGACAGGCAGAGGTGGGCAGTGACTTACGGCCCCGTGGGGAGTTTGGCTAGACCCCAGACTAGTAACAAAGAAAACATGATACATGTGAATCAGTTGCCATTACTGAGGCAGAGGTGGTGGTGGTGCTGGGCAAACTGTGCACTTACTGGAAGTCTGCAGGGTCTGGAACCTTCTGCAGGCCCAGCCACGGTCGCTGTCCTGGACACCAGGCCGCTTTGGTGAGCAGCCTGTCCCTGGCCTAAGGTTACAGACTGGCTTTGCAACAGGC